TGGTCCTCTGGTTACTGCAATCCCTGGTGTCCCCTTTCTTGGAGACTGAAATGTGCATTGAGTGTTTCCAATCTGTGGACCATTCTTTTATTTCCCATGTTTGTTGACAGATTTTAGTTAGAACTAGAGTAGATTCAGTCTCTGTAGACCAGGGGTAGGCAGCCTAAGGCCTGGGGGCCGGATGTGCCCCCTGAGGCCTTTGGACCAGCCCCAGGCTGGTTCTGCCGCCACCGTCACCACCCCCCGCTGCCTCCCGCCGCTGCCTGCCATGATGATATTGATTATGTTGTTATTACTTGTTCTTGGGGTTTTCTTGGCAAAATCTCCACAGGGGTTTTGTCGTGGCTTTTCTGGGGCTGAGGGAGTGTGCATGCATATTTTTTAAATTTTTGATTTTTTAAAAAAATATTTATTTATTTATTTATTGTGCTTCAGCCCCCCAATTGTCTGAGGGACAGCAACCCGGCCCCCGGCTTAAAAAAGGTTGCCTACCCCTGCTGTATACTGACCTTATAGAGGCATAAAATTTGGTGCATTGAGGTGGATGATGGCAATGAATGGAGAGAAATGACATGTCAGTGTGTTGGATCCAGAGCCCACTTATCTCATATCCATGCTTCCAATACATTGAGAAATTTAGATTCTCCTCAAAGTACGTCAAATACTATCAGGGTTTGTTTTTCCTTAATGGCAGACAGAACCCTGCAAATGAGAAAAACAGCCAAAAATAATTTTTACCCTGTTGGTAAGAGCATTGTAGATGGAGTATATCCCCCCTAAGATCAGAGTACTCTGCCTTTCAGTGTCTCAACCTTAAGATTTCTCCTTGAAATTGCTTCTAGAGTTTGATGCAGCCACATGAAATAAAGTCAGGCTTGTTTCCAGCCAAAGTCAGGGGTGGAAGCTGCAGGACAATTCTGAGGCTGAAAAAGCAAGGAAAAATTATGAAAACTCTAGAAGACAGGAAGGCCAAATGTTCACACTATACTCCTGTAATTGCCCAGTGATTATATTTTTAAATTTCCTTGTTCTTATTTGAAAGAATGAAAATAAGCTAAGACTTTCACCCTAGTACTGTGTACCTTAATTATGATGGTAATGTTTCTTGCTCTGTCTCAGGCAGCAAAATGTCTTGGGCCAAACCCACCTAGTCCTGAATCCTGCAGATTCCTAAGAGATTCTCTATCTTTTGGATTCTAGATCGAAGCCTGGTGTCAGGTAATATTGGCATCTCACCCCATCTGATCCACACCTGCAAGTGGCCAGCCTATACCACTTATACTTCACCCATGGTCAAGAAACTTGTGGAGGAGGACAAGTCAAGAATTGAAGGGTTCCTGGGATCACCACGGGGAAGTAGTCAAGAGTCACACAGCAGCCAGGCTCACCTCCAGCAGAAGAAGTACACCCGTAGGTCCCAGGAAGCAGGTATAACTGGAGCAAGTCCAGCAACACCACGATTCAGCACCACTGTTAGTCCTTTTAGGGTTAGCAAGGACTCATTAACTGGTTATGGTGGTTTGAGGGTGCTGAGCAGTGATTCACCTTGGGGGACCTCCATTACACAGAACTTGGTAATTTTTTCCAGAAGAAGAATCCCCCTCCGTGTTCAGCCAATGAAGCTGCCAGATGCTGCCAATAAGGAGAAAGACAAGCATGTGGAACTGCAGGAATAGTGCCACAGTTGTGGCACTATGGAAAGGGGCATTAAAACCTCTCAGCAAGTAACATGTATCTTTGGATTCTTTTCTTTAGGCCTGATCCCCACTTACAAATGAATCAGTTTGCGATCCGAATCGATGGATTGGTTCGACAGCAGAGAGCGTTTCACACTACATTTGCCCCAATCACATTTCTTGCTGTAAAATAAACCACTTGTGGTTCACGTTGATGAATGAATTGATTCAAAATGGACCCACTTCAGCTGGCCAAAGGGAAAATTTAAATAGATTCCGATCCACATTTGGTTCACACTTGTGCGGAATTGATTTATTGAAAAAGACACAGAAAAAACAGTGTCAAAAAGACATGTGTTAAATGGGTTTAGCACATGGCCCCCCTCTCCAAACCACTTCAGCGATTCAGTTCAAGTTCATTTAAACTGCTTCAAACCAGTTTGCAAACCAGTTTAAAATGTAGTGCAGGGGTAGGCAACCTTTCCCCTTTAAGGGCTGAGGGACTTCAGCTCCCAGAAGCCTCAGCCATGTTGGCCAATAGTCCAATGTTGTCCAATAGCTCCTGGGATTCTGGGAGCTGAAGTCCCTCAGCCCTTAAAGGGGAAAGGTTGCCTACCCCTGATGTAGTGGGAATGAAGCCTTAGAATTTAGACTGGATGCCATGTTGGTGGTATATACTGAGTGGAGGGAAGAATAAAACACTACTAACAAATAGGAGTGTATATGAAAACAGGATTTCCAGTATTAGGGGACTTTTCACACATTCACAAAAGCACATTCAAGATGGGGGAGGGACAAGTTTATTCATGATCCTCCCAGATCTCCTACTTGTCTATTCATCTAAGTGTCACACTGTGTTGTATATGTGTAGTATAAGAAATCTCACCCACCCTTGGTTTTGTGAAGTATGAATCACATGTTAGCAGACATATGTAGCTCATAATAATACGGGGGGGGGGGAGTGGAGAGAGCAAGGAGACAGGAGAGGTATGATCCTATGGCACCATTTCATGATGAGTATACCAGTTTGGCAGATGTGTCACATAAAGCTGACAGAAATCAGTAATAAACAAAGTAAGAGTAATGGCACATTTACAGAGAAATAATTGTGTTAAATGTGTGTTATGGCACAATCCATTATGAAGCCCATACTGAAACACTAGTGGTTTTGGGTCACTCCTAGTCATTTAAGTGGAGGAGGCACCAGAAGATCTCCTAGAAGACAGGACCCTGAATTGTACAGTTAGGTAATTTTAGACCAGGGCTGGGAATCACATGGCTCTCCCAGTGTTGTTGGACTGCATTTCCTAACATTCCTCATGATGCGTTATTCAGACTAGTGTTGCTGGGAATTGTAGATTCATGGTTCCCACTTCCATTTTAGACTCTAAACTTACATACAGTATAGATGACAGTGTGTGATAATTCTGGTTTTAATGGTCTTACCAAGCAGAGTGCATTACTTTACTGACTTAAAAAAGAGGTGACTACCAGTTCTGCAGCATTTGCAGGCCCTTCTGTTCATTCTGTTAAGTGGATCCCAGGGACCTCAGCCCTGTTCTTAGATCAAGGCTGACGACTGGGTGGTTCTTTGGATGTTTCTGAACGGCAACTCCTAGCACCCTAGCTAGCATGTTCAATGGTAAAACATGATGAGAACCACTGTAAAAAACATCTGGGATGCCACAGGTTCCCCATCCCTGGTTTAAGACACTACACTTCTGAATGAACAGTGAGAACATGAGAAAACGTACACTGAGTCTGACAAAATAAATATTCCACTTCCCTATGTAGAGCACAGTGGCTCAGTGGTTAAGATACTGACTCTGGCGATTGCAAGATTGGCTGGTCAGCAGTTTGAGGCTCAAGCACCATGTAATGGAGTGAGCTCCCATCACTAGTCCCAGCTTCTGCCAACCTAGCAGTTTGAAAGCATGCAAATGGAAGTAGATAAATAGGTACCACTTTGGTGGGAAGGTAAACAGCATTTTGTGCACTCATGCTGGCCACATGATTACAGAGTCATCTTTGACAACTCTGGCTCTTCGACTTAGTAACAGAGATGAGTACCTCCCCCTACAGTTGGACACAACTTGACAATCTTGTCAAAGGGGAAACCTTTGCCTTTATGTGGAGATTTGAGTTTTCCATAATGGAAGCTCCTCAAGTGATGACACTGTTGATGAATGATCCAGAGCTTATCCTGTTGCCTATAAGGGAGACAGACAGACAGGACTTACTCATTGTAGGGATGTGTTCCTTTAAAAAGAATTTTTGCTGCTAACACAAACTAGGTAAATAAGTGGGACAACACTGAAGTTCTGTAGAGAAGGGCTGGGAAATCTTTAGACCCTCCAGTTTTTGATGAATGACTCCCATCATCCCTCACAAAGGGCCAGGCTGGCTACAGATGGAGGAACTGCAATTGGTGTTCAACAACATTTAGGGGCGCATGGATTCCACAGCCCTGTGGCAAAGGGTGGATTAATAAAAAACGGAAGCCCCAAATTACCTGTTAGAACTGGGAGCACAAACCCCAAAATAGTTCTGTCTATTTCCACATAAGATAGTGGAAATAGACAGAATTTTTCTTTTCTTTTTAGAATACTGGTGGTACAAATATCCATTCCTTTCAATTGATAATGGTGTACATAAGACTGTGTTATTTATTCGTTTTGTTCTCAAACTTGGCAGTGCCTGCTTTATTAATCTGTCACCTCCAAAAAAACAAATCAACATAAATGTTTGCAAACAGTATGGTGGTTGTTGTTGTTGTTGTTGTTGTTGTATCCCTTCAATTCATTTCTGGCTTATGATTACTCTAAGGCAGGGGTAGGCAACCTTTCCCCTTTAAGGGCCGAGGGACTTCAGCTCCCAGAAGCCTCAGCCATGTTGGCCAATAGTCCCATGTTGGCCAATAGCTCCTGGGATTCTGGGAGCTGAAGTCCCTCGGCCCTTAAAGGGGAAAGGTTGCCTACCCCTGCTCTAAGGTCTGATCTTCACCAGATAAATAATGCAGTTTGACACTGCTTTAATTGTCATGGCTCCATCTTATGGAATCCTGAGATTTGTAGTTTGTTGTGGCAACAGAGCTCTCTGACAAAGACTAAATAGCTACAAATCCCAGAATTCCTTAGCATTGAATCACAGCAGTTAAAGTAGTGTCAAACTGCATTATTTCTGCAGAGCAGGTTAGACCTAAGGCGAACCTATCATGGGGTTTTCTTAGCAAGATGTATTCAGAGGTGTGTGTGTGTGTGTGCCTTTGCCTTCCTCCAAGGTTGAGAGAGTATGAGTTGCCTAAAGTTACCTAGTGGGTTTCCATGGCTGAGCAGGGATTTGAACCCTGATCTTCAGAGTCATAATCTAACGCCCAAACCACTATACCATGTTGGCTTTCTAGAATGAAAGTCCAGACCTGTTATTGGTGATTGTGAAGGAAGACCTCAGTTTGAGTGTTCTTCTCTCTTTTGCTTTCCTAGAAAGCAAATCTGCTAATTATCTTCTGAAGATCCTATCTTTCTTTTAATATTTATCAGAAGTTGGTTATTTTAGGGGGGTACTGTTGGTTGTACTTCCTATTTCATATACCCACTTCCCCAAACTCCAGGCTTTTCACTGCTGTGCTGAATGAACTATGGAGAGAGAGAGAGAGAGAGAGAGAGAGAGAGAGAGAGAGAGAGTAGAGTTAATAAGGTAACATAAAACAATGAAACAAAAGCACACAAACACACACACACACCGCAATTTAAACCTACAGATGCAGCAGACCCTATCGGTTATTACTATATGGAAGCCTGGCTAACAACCAAATGCCATTGTAAAGGCGCTTTATTGTTCTGTGGCTGTCTAGATTGAACACAGGTGTTCCTGCTGGTGTATGGACAAAATCCAGATGCCGTCTGCCTTGTTTCAGTGATATATTGGCTAACTTCCCATCAAGGACAATGTGGCCAAAGCAACACACAACATATACAGAGGCAAAGAGAGAAGTAACCTGCAGGGAAGGGTGAACACTTTATATTTTAAGCAGGCAGTTTGTGTTTTTAATATTGTGCACTTAGAGCTGATGGATATTGTAAATGAGAGTCAAATTAGTGCAGTTTATAGCTTCCTTGTTCGGAACAGCAATAACTTCAGAGATAATTAAGGGCCTGGGTTTTTGCTTTGCCAGGTAAAATTATGCTTGAATTTGGTCCACTGTTTTTCTTCCCTGCATAGCATTGGAAGGATTGATGGTAACACTTATGTCAACAGGGAAGGGCTCATTTTCTCCAGCTAAAAAAAGAAAAAGCCAAGCTTTTTTCTATGTCTGAGGAACCAGGATTAAAGTGGGCAATCATCACACAGTTAGTGATGCTCATTTTAACATTTTAATGTAATAAAGGTATGTTAATGACTGGATGAGACTAAAGACTATGTTAAAAAACATAGCAACCAACTGCATCCCTACTGGAGGTCCCCAAGCAGGATCCAAAGACAACAGCACCCTCCCAGCTGTGTCCCCCAGAATGGTAACTGGCATTCTATCCCTTTTCTCTATGATACTAGGAATATTTCAGAACACTGTGGATCCATAGTGGTTATGGCACATCCCATTCATTGGTGATTAAATACAATAAAATATAAAAGTACTATTGTAGCAGATTTTTGTGGCAACCTGCTGTAGGTCTTTTATTGCATTACGCAGGGTGGGAATCACGCAGTTCTCCTGAGGCTGTTGGACTGCCTTTCCCAGCATGCCTCATCACTAGCTCTGCTGCCTATGACTGCTGGGAGTAGCAATCCCACAGCATCTGGAGGGCTGATTTCCACTCAATGTAAGGGAAAGAAGGGCTTTCACAAAAACCCCATTCAAGTGTTATACGATCTAGCTCTGTACTCTCAGTCCTCACTCTCCTCATATGGAGAGGAAGATGCTCCGAAAGAAAAAGCCTTCTCTCCAGTGCACAGAGGTGGCTTCTCATCTTCAGACTGTCATTCTCCACAACATAGAGAGCAATAATGGAGGTCAAGATCAAGGCACTTCCTGCTCACATGCTTAATTTAACAATTATAATAGGGCTTATTTAACCACCATTCCTGTTTTATATTGAAAAGCAAACTTGCAATCCAAAACACAGTCGGCTATCCCCAGCAGTGACTGTGTGTATACCTGAAGCTCCCAGACTGCAGTTTGTGTCTCTCAGGAAGTGGGCTGGGTTGCCCTGAAAGCTCAGGCTTTAAGGTGTCAGATGATTCTTTGTTATATTGTGCTGTAATATACTGGCACAGCTACCCTTTTGAAAACAGACCAGCTAATTAATCACAACTAAGGCTGTAGTCCTGCAGAAATGGCAAGTATCATTGAACTCGATAGTGTTTTCTTCAGAAGTTATTCTTCATATATTATTTAACATCTATATGAAGCCGCTGGGTGAGATAATACGGAG